AAAATCACAATCACCTATATAAAAGCCAAAGTTTTAAGTTTTGATAAATGAAATATATATTTTGTATACATAAATTTACATAAAAATTACAGTTAAATGTCATTTAATTGCTTACATAAGAATTAACTATTAAATTGTTAGAACTAATTGCAAAAGTTATTAAAAGACATTTAGTTTTTATTTTATTTTTCAATAAATAAACTAAAAAGTCAAATGTCAGAAAAGTAAATGACACATGGCAGTAGTCTCTCATTGGTAGACTCTACCCATGTACTGGCAGACTCTACTGATGTATTGGCAGGCTCTGCAAATATCTAGAAATACGCAGATTCTGCCGAAACATTGACAGACTCTGCCAAAATATTGGTAGACTCTGCCGAAACATATGCAGAGTCTGCTGAAACATAAGTAGACTCTGCCGAGATATTGGCAGACCTTACTAAAAAACGCAGACTCTGTCAAGGCATTGACAGACTATAACGAGGTATTGGCAGACTCTGCAAAAAAAATATAGAATTTACAAAAAAAAAAAATCATAATCTGCGAAAACATTTACAGACTTCTAGAGCGTTTTGTCTTTTGTTGATAATGGTTTTTATATTTTGTGTCTATTTTCTTCTTGGAAATTTTTTTTTTAAAATTAAATATATTTATAATATTGATTAGTTAATAGCAGTGTTTTAAAAAACGTTCTAGGCGTTCGTCTAGGCGGCGCTTAGGCGTTAGGCCCTTATAAACCGTGGCGATTACCGCTTTTGTCGCCTAAAATATTATGGTATTATAATAATAAAATAATATAAATTTTTGCATATATAAATCGTAAAAATGTTATATATTTGGCTATAAAATGATGAATATAAATACAATATAAAATTGTGACAAAAAAATACAATATAAATTTTGGTAGTTATAAATTATAGTTTTTTTATATATTTTATCATATATATCTAATATATTATGTATTTTTGTAAAACACTTAGACCGCCTATTAAATCGCGTTGTCTCTAATTAGGCGTTCTAGGCACTAGGCATTGGGTCACCACCCGCTTAGTGCCTAACGCTTTCTTGAACATTGGTTAATAGGGATATTTTTGGTATCATGAAAGAAAAAAAACGTAAAATAAGTTATTTGGACAATAAAAATTTTAAAAAGTTGTCCTAGTAATTTTTTTTTAAAAGTAGGTTATTATGGGTAAATTTGTTTATAAGATAAGATAAGATCCGCAAGCTTAGGGGGAATAA